TCAGCACCTTCCCATTACCACAGGGCACCCCACCTCCCTGGCCCTGTAACCTGATCCCAGCTTGACATCAAGAGTGCACCCACTTTCCTTGACCCATCACTCCACACCTTTGCTAGAGGAGCATTGCTTGGAGGGCTGCCCCCCTGCCCCAAAAGTACTGGAGCCTCAGGAAGGTGCTGTCCCTGGCTGGACCCATTAGCCTTTAGTGGGAATCTATTGAAAGGGGCTGGAGTGGACAGCTTTTATAGGCTGCCTTGGCAACTAGAACAAGGCCTGGATGCTGATGTGGGGACTCTTAGGAACCTTTGGAGTAGCTGTGGTCCCCTCTCTAAAGCCTCTCTGAGGCAAGATTAACCCTTTGCTCCCTCAGCCACTCACTCACAAGGCCCTCATTCCAGCCTCCATCACCTCGGCACTAGCCCTGAGGAACAGGCTCTGGTGGGGAAGCAGCTGCCACCTGTCATTGTCCTGGGACAATGGGCTCCATTTGCCCTTGACTTCAAGGTCCTGCCATGACTCAGGCCCCAGTTGGCCTTGGAGCAAGACTACTGGCCCCTCCTGTGCATTCATCCTCACGCTGAGCCAGGAAAGGCTAGATTTGACACATCTGATTCATCTTGAGTGGGTCCCTGCCTGGGCATATCTCCATGATTACCTAGCCATCAGTGATGGCTTCTGAGAGGATGAAGGCTGTCCATCACATCCAGCGTTAATGTGCAACTTCAGCAAGTCATAACCCCTTCACAGTTTCCCCACCCTAAAAATAGAAACAGCATTGTCCCTTTCTCTTCCTACCATTTATGAAGACTGATGAGCTTGTTCTGTTGAAGGGAAGTGTTAAGAAGGTGCATGTGTAATTCGCAGGTGTAATACTCTTGCTTTATGATGGACATTGATTTCCCAATTTATTGTGGTCCTGGCGCGCGTGCGCACGCGCATGCACGCATGCGCACACACACACACACACACACACGGCTTGCCTTTATGCCTTTACATAGGCAAGGATTAAATACTGAGTAATAAGTGCCAGTGCCTATTAGACAACAAAGCAGTCCTCCCTTAGGCTGTAACTCCATACCCCCATTAACCCCCTACTACTACCCAAGGGAGAAAGAGAAGCAGCAAGGGTTAGAGACTTGAGCAGCATCCTCTTCTGAACCCAGAAATGGCCTGGTAGGTGGTGGTCCAAGGCTTTTCCCCCACCCAGGCCTTGGTAACTTGATTCTCACTTAGGTCACCAAGGCCCAGGAGGTAGGCAGGAAGGAAGGAGAGTGCTTTCTGCCTCTTACTGTTCTTTCCTTGGGGGTCAGGCCACTAGTGAGGCCTGAAGCGGGTACCCATAGAGAAAGGAAGGATTGGGATGGGGACCCCCACAGCAGAGAAGGTAGAGGTCGGGTGATACAGCCAGAGAACAGAAAGGCGAAGACCATTTTATTTTTCCCTGGGACGCTGGTGGCTCCGGGCCTGATGCGTCCCCGAGGCTTTCTTATGCTTCCTGTCCAGCACCTGAGCCATGTAGTTCTCCTGCTGCTTCTGGATCCGGAAGTCAGACATGTGATTCCTGCAATGGAGCCGGCTGGGCATGGGCTGGGGGCAGTCTAAGGTAGGGGCCAGAAGTCTGGCTCCCCACTTCCATCAACAACCCCCAGCCTGGCCCAGACCCCTCACCTGAAGATCTGTTTCTGCTGGCTGATAACTTGCTGCAACTCCTTAATCTCATTCTCTTTGCCATTAAGTATATCTTCTTGCTTTATAATGTGAGACTCAATTTCTGTGGGGGAGAGAGGCAGGGAGGAGGTGGTTCCATCCCACGGGCTCCTTCCTGAGTTAAGGCATTCATTCCCTTGTGGGTCTTTTCAGAACTTGGCTCCCCCCACCCAGGGGTTCTCCATGAGTTTATTATGGAGTCTTGATGGGGTGATGAGAGGCCACAATGTCTGATGAATGTGTCGGTGACTTCACAACTCTATTCTGGACTAGGTGACTCACATGAGGGCAGGCAAAGGCTCTTGGAGAGAGGTGGGCAGCCCCGTCCAAAGGCAGGAGGATGAACAACAGCTCCTGGCCTCAACTCCTGCAGATCCTCACAGACATTCCTCTTGGGCGAGACCCTCCTAACTTAAAATTATACCCCTTCCCAATATTTCCTATCTTTATTTTTTCTCTGCTTTATTTTTCTTCTTAGCACTTATACCTAATATACCATATATTTTACTCATTTGTCTTCTCCCCTACTAGGATGTAAGAACAAGAATTTTTGTTTTATTCATTGTTTTAATCCTAAAGTCCAAGACAGTACCTGGCACATAGAAGGAACACAATAAATTTATTTGTGGCATGAGTAAACGGGATGTCCCCTGGGGGTTTAGGACTTAGAAACATCACCAATTCAGTCATCTCAATCCAACCAGGCCTTCTGAGGGCCAGCTGGATGCCCAGCCCTGTGTAGGGTCTGCCCTCAAGGAGGTAGCTCCTGAAAGGAGAGCTAACATTCAGGAACTGATGAGAGAACAGAGCAAGGTGATATTTAAATGACGTTAATATTAGTGAGACAGTATTACCACTTTAGGCAAGTTGCCTCTTTTTTCAGATCCATTTCTTCATCCGTAAGATGGGAACAGGGATAGTCCCTCTTCTACAGCAGGGTCAGGAGGACCCAGGGAGATTAGTGGTGGCAAAGCTTATCCCCTAATTAAGTGCTTATTAGATGCCAGGATAATTTTTGTGATTTGTGTTAGAATGCAATGAGGCCATAGAGATCTGAGGGTGCTTCATTTATATAACTGGCCCTCAAGGAGCCGTGGAAAATTCTGATCCTCACAGGAAGAAAATCCCACTGCCTTTAAAGGTTGGACAAAGATGAACTAGAACATCAGCTTTAAAATTGCAAAACACGGGGGCATTCAAGGTTTCAGAAGAGACGATGTAAAAAATTAAGGCACAGCATGGAAAAGAGGAGACACAGGTGAAGGAAGAGAAGGAACACATGAGCTTACAGGGTCACTGGACCAGAACTATCAAAACTCCTTCCCCAGGTCATCCAGCTAATCCAGACTGACTGCTTGTGAAGTTCTTTTGGGAAAAAGCATCAGAAATTTGTGGGAATCTTTTAAAATAAATGAGAGATAAATTTAAAATAAAAGGCACCCAATGAGAACATGGTTAGAAAAGCCTTTTGAAAAGATTAAGTAACTATGTAAGTAAAACTAAACTGAAACCACATAAGGGAAAGTGGCAGGGGGGAGGCACAGGCCAGGGGGAGGGCAGGGGAACGTTCGGGTCATTGGATTTGCTCAGGTGAGGGCTGTGCCCTCCTGGAGGGATTCAGGACAATCTCGGAGGAAGCAGCCAGGCTCTGTCCCCGTGACTCACACAGTTTCCACTAGCAGACACAGAACCCTGCAGCCTTAGCTGATCTCTAGGAAGTGCCCTAAAAGAAGGATATCTTTACCTAGTACCACCAGGAAAGAACCCTAGGTTCCTTTTAGGGAAGTAGGAGGGAATATCCAGAGGGAGGTGAAGGACTATGGGCCAGCATCCTTCGGTATGGAGCTAGTGACTGCCTATTGGGTCCCAAGAGGGCCTAACGGGGGCTCTCAAACAACCATGAGGCCTGTCAGCCCACCTGGGCAGATCAAGATGGCAGCCCACTGGCAGCTTACCAGTGAGATAACTTAGCAGGAGAGAGAGAAAGCTGGACTGGAGAGTAAAGGATGCCCAAGGCCCCAGGTGGGGGCCCATCAGGAGAGACCCTGCACCTCTTTTGGGCTTAGCTCTGGGCTCTAGCCTACTCAAAATCTGTTTCAGTGAATGAAGTAGATGTTGCATATGGAATTCATAGCTACTTCTTAAACTAGGTATGGGAAGTTTAGCATTCTTGGAAAATAAAAGGGGTTCCTGAGGTCTAGGGACACTGGGTAGCTGACTGAAAGTGCCTCGCAACTCACAGCACAAGTGGCCACAGGCATCTACATGGAGCACAGTTGAAAACTAATGGCCCACAGACATTTTACTTGGCCCATACAATACTTTTAAAATTTCTAAATCAGTTGCCAACACTAAAAAGTCAGAAAAGCTTCCATTAAAACCTGGCTTCCAATTTCTTTTTTAAAGATCTAACAATACTGGACCCCATTCCCACAGCAGAGACACTAGCCCTTGAGAGGGGGCAGGGCTCTCCACATCACCGCAGACCCCACTCCTCCCTATGGGATCCCACACCTTGAGACTAAGGGTCAGCTCCCTAACAGGGTTTGTGCTTGCCTTGTTGTTCCTCTTATAACAGAGTTATGAGTAGAGCACACTATTTCTAATATACATCAAAAGTGGGAAAATAAAAGGTGGACTAAGGTCGTCGTATGTTTCAAGAAAAATGGGAGCAAGCCCGTTCCTTTATGGCCATGAAGAATATCGTACAACTGCTTCCCTCATTTCCGTGGCCTGCCTGGTCCCTGAAGGCCTTTGCGAAGGTGTGGCCCGCCTGGGCCTGCCTGTATCCTCAGCCGGGGACAGAAGTTGGGGTGAAACCCTGCCCTGGACACGGGCACTGGACTGTTGGGGAAGAGCCCATGTATATAAGCGTGGGAAGAAGTGCGGGCCTCACGCCTACCATTGCACTTGGTGATGAGCTGGTCCTTTTTGCTGGACTCTTGCAGGGCTCTGCTCTTGACAGTGGAGAGCCTGGGTGGAGAACATAAGAAAGAGTGGGAAGGCTGACGGGCAGATAGGACTTCCAACCCATCCCCCCTAACCAAAGCTCACTCACGCCTTTTCAAAGGCCAGCTTCTCTTTCTCCAGCTGTTTAGACAGCACCTCTACCTCTCCGAGGGCAAACTGCAACTTTTCCTCTTCCTTGGCCAGGAGGACCTTCGTCTTGGCATGAGCAGCTTTCTCTTCCTACAGGAGCAGTAGCAGTGACCTCATTAACCCCAAGCCACCTGGGGTCTCCTGGTCTCCCTTAACCAGCTCCTTTTCTCAGAGGGACACACAGAAGCCAGAGAACAAGATTCTGTGTTGCTACTGGGACTGGAGGCTCTCAGAGTCCAATACTCAATGATTCTGCTCAACCAAAAGGATTCCGGGAAATTGGGGAAAATCAGGAGCCTGGATAGGTCACTTACCACCAGCTTCTTCTCCACTGCCTGGAACTCTTCTTTACTGACAAAATTTTCGTCCTGGAGAACCATCTGCAACAGAGCCTGGCTCAGGGACGGCCTGAGGCTGGGGTGGGGGAGGGGTGTCCACTAGGGACCAGGAGAAAGGATAGATAATGGGATGATGTCCAGGGCACCTAGGATGAGATGGGGCCCTGGGAAGGGAGAATTGTCCCACATGATTCACTGAGGCTCAACTCTTAGGTCCTGTCCTCAAGGAGCAACCAGTCTCATGGATAAGATAGTCCATGGTCAGCACTTCTAACAGTGTGTGCTATGATGGAAAACAACAAAGAGGTGTCCAGAGGAGGCCCCTGACTTGGCCTGGGGAAAAGTCAGAACTGCTTTTGGAGAATGAGACATCAGAGCAGACCCGAGATCTGACTGCCGTATAGGACTAGGCCAGAAGAAGAAGAGGGGTGGAAAAGTTCCAGACTGTGAGAAAAAGTCCAGGGGTGGAGTCCATCTCTTAAAGTAGCCAAGAGGAAGAACTGGGTACTTTCAGGAAATTGAAGGTAATTCAATGCCTAGAGCCGCATAAAGCCAGTAGAGGGAGAAGGAGATGTGAAGTCATCTTATTTCTGAGATGGAGGTATGTCCAGGTCTTCTATTCAAGATAGAAAACAAAAACTGAAAAACCGTAAACTCCACCTGGCCAGGGTTTTACTATGCCTGTCCAGATAATCTGTGGCTCCGATGCTTTGCACCCATGAACTGGGGTTTGATTGAGAAAACAATAGAAAAGGGACATAAGGGGGTCAGAAGCTGTTAATGTGCGCAAAGGCCAAACCTGTGCTTACTGCACTCAGCATGGCACTGCATTAGACACTGAGGAGGGGATGTATGTAACAGAAAGGATGTTAACAGTTTCTTTGCCAGCACTCAAGGGGTTTGGGCAGTGAAATCGTCTCCAACTAGAAATGGGGAAACTGAGGCTCAGTGAATAAATGGGGATATATCTACCAGGCTTTGCACAACAAGGCAAAGAGAGTAGAGAACAACTTGATTTTGATTACAATTCTCTGGTAAATATTCATGAGACCCTTGGCCCTTTTTGGCTCCATCCCCACCAGCCATAACACATCTGACCCCTCCTTCCTTCTGATGACGCCATTGGCAATGTGCTCTCCGTATGCCCCCCCCCCCGGCACCGGAACAGGGGCTGGCCCAACTCCAACATTTAGGCGTCCAGTCCAGCCTCTCCCCTAGCTCTTCGGGCTGCGTACCACGTTCCTCAGCTGGTGGATCAGTTCCTCCTGAGACTCAATCACGTCCCGCAGTTGATCGAAGGCGAGACACACCGACCCTGACCCCCCCTGCGACCACCCGACGGGCGTCGCCATCTTTTGCCCCCGCCAGCTCGTTGGAAATGGCTGCCGCTGGATGGCTCACCACGTCGCCCACCAATGAGAATGCGACGCCACAGAGTACCCTGGCAACCGGAGGCGGGGACTTGCTTTGTTAGCAGGGATGAGGCCCGCCTCTTAAAGGAGCCGTCAGGGTAATTTAACAACCCTTAGAAATTTAAGTTTATAGAGTATTTACACATCTATTTTATCTGGTAGTTCTCACGCAGTCCTGAGGAGCAGGAAGGGCCCTGCTTTACTTCTCCCCGCCCGCCCCCGACCCCATCCCCAGCCTTCTCTCAGGGCCTGCAAGACCCTGAAGCAAGAGCCTTCTAAGGCAACACCTGCATCTTTAGCTTCACACGCCTCTTTCTCACACCCTAATATCTAAATTTCTCTCGGCTTCCTGTGACCTCTCTTCTTCCTAGAACATACTCAATACTTAGGGGACCTAAGCCTAAGCAATGAAAGGCGGCTCAAGAATAGAAAAGGAGAGTGATCTCGAGATAAGAGTTGTCACACGCTGGAACTAAGTTCTGGGAAGCCACACTAGAGCCAAATACAAGGTGCTGGGGAGGCCCCTAAATAGCCTGAAGAGATTAGTAGAAGTGAGATGGGATATGAAGGAGACTTCCAAAACGGAGGTAGGAAGGGATAAGGTGATTATACACCTTCACCAAATCCCCATTGAGGGCTTTTTTTGAAACCCAAATAAGATTAAGCTTGAGGAATATTAGAGCTAATAACTATCAAGTATTCACTATTTCGTAGCACTATTATGCCACATTAATATTATTTCATGTGATCCTCATAATAACCTGGGGAAGTAGGTTCTACTGTCCCCATTTTACAGATGAGAAAATGCAGGTTCTATGAGAGTGAATAACTTGCCCAAGGTACTAAGTTACTAAACTAAGCCTCAGAGCAGGGTTTTGACATAGGCACTTTGATTGCAGAGTCCATGTACTTAACCATGAAGCTGTGCTGCATTTTTGTTGATCATAATGGATACTAAAGTTACCGAATTTAATACCTCCAAGCAGGAAATTACTATATTAAGAAGTTTGCAAAAAATGTTATCAGTGACCAGAGAGGAAAGCTGAAAGTTTAAGTAAGCCACTCAGGCTGCTTCCCAAAGCTCCCTAGGGGGCCTCTTTTTTTAGCTGGATTTCATGGCTCAGCAAATGTAGCCATTCCTGTGGGTCTCCCAGTAATAGCCCTTGTTTTTAGTGTCTGTTATCATGTCCTTGAGGGCAAGACCATTTCTGTTGGCTAATCTTAAAGGGCCCAGAACAGTACTGTTCAACAGGACTTCTGCCCTGGAAATGCTCTGTATCTGCATGGTCCAGTACTGTAGCCACTAGCCACATGTGGGCTACTCAGCACTTGAAATGTGGCTCACGTGACTGAGGAATGCTTTTCAAATTTTAAAAAAATTTAATTAAAATTGAAATTTAAATAGCCTCATATGGCTAGCGGCTATTGTATTGGACAGTGTAGGCCTGGAGGATGCTGAGTATGTAGGTTGTGTACCTCAGCACAGAGCCTTCCTGGAACTTTGTCTATCAGATGTGAACATTCACCTGAATCATCCTGGATAAAGCTGCACATCCCTTTGGGGCATCGATCCCTGAATCTTTCCTTAAACTGTGTCCCTTCTCTAGGGTTTTTCATGAGGTGCTGCTTGATATCTCTTTCCACTCTTCCCACTCTTCCCACTAGCTGGAACAGGTTGCCTTGTTTATTTAGAGCAAAACCCTGGAGCATAGTAGGCTCCAGCAGCCAGTTCCTTGGGGATGAGAGGTTATAAGCAAGAGAGAACCTTGGATCCAGGTCCGCACCCTGCATACCAGCATGGACATGAGGAATGGTCACCCTGGTTGGGGACTGCCACTGATTCCCACTCTCTATATCAGCAAACACTATGGGCTCCTGGCCAACCAGGGCTCAGCGGACTTAGGATAATTTGACATCACAAACAGCTCTGTGATCCTACCCCAGAAAGGGCTGTCTTTTTGCATAGGGTTGTCATCCTGGTTGATGTTCTGGTTATCTATTGCTGTACAACACACCACCCAAAATTTACAGCTTAAAAAAAAAGTCGTTTTGTTCAGGAATCTTCAACTTGGGCAGGGTTCAATAGTAAAAGCTCCATGTAGCACCGGGTGGGATGGTCGATGTGGGAGAGGGGAGGCTGGATGTTTCACTAGCAAGATGGCTCACTCACATAATTGGCAAGTTGGTGCTGTCAACTAGGACCTTATCTGAGGCTGAGGAACAAGGGTCTTGTTCCTCTCTGTGGGCTGCTTAGGCTTTCTCATAGCATGTGACTGGGTTCAAGAGAAAGTATTCAAAGTATCAGGAAATGGAAGATGCCAGTTACTTAAGCCCTGAGCCTAAAAAGTAGCATAGTGTCATTTCTGCTGTATTCTATTGGTCAAGGAGTCAGGGTCTAGCTTCAAGGAGACGGGGCACATCTCACTTTTTGGGCTGCACTTCCAGAGGAAGTTCTGACAGATGGCATGTCATTCCCTTCAAGGTTCAGCTCAGATTAAACCAGACTGGAACTTAGTTTAGTGGGGAGACAGACAATAATCACATAAACACTCAAATCTCAAATTAAGTCATTGTTCAGATAAATAGTATTATAGCTATGACAGCTGCTAAGAAAAAAAAGAAAGAGTATTTTAAAGGGAGATTTATTAGCTTGGTCTGGGATGTCAGGGAGGGCTTCCATGAGAAAGTGATATTTGAGTTGAAACCTAGTAAGATAACCAAGAAGCACTTAGCAAAGGAGTGAGGGCCAGGTTTGTGGGAAAGGGCTCCAGAAAGAGGGAACAGTAGACAAAGTTCCTGGGGCAAAAGGGGTTGGTAGAGTATAGTAATTAAAAGGCTAGTATGGCAGAAAAGAAAAAGAGGTACAGAGCAAGCAAGGGTGGAGGCCAGAAACTTGGTAGAGCCTTGTTAAGCACTGGGCCATGCTAATAACTTTGGCAGTTTTTATTCTGGGGGCAAAAGAAAGCTACTGAAATATTTTAAGCAAGAGGGTGGCATGATATAATTTAAGCTTTGAAAAGATCTCTCTGGTTGCAGCAAGGTGTACAATTGGAGGGGCCCTGAGTCGATGTACAGAGACTATTTATACTTGTAAGGCTACTGCACTAGTTTTTATTAGAGGAAGTGGATGGTCGTTTGAAAATCAGATGGTGTCGGAGATGAAGAGAGTAGATGGATTTAGGATGTTCCGGAGGTAAAAGTGACAGGACTTAACAATGATGGAGGGGATATGGGAAAAAGGGAGCCAAGGTATTTTGGTTGTCTACTGTTCCACACTGCCACAAAATAATGGATTTAAGACTAAAGGCCAGCTCAGATCAGAAAGGGGACTACACAAGGGCATGAATATTTGGTGGTCCATTGTCCACCAAATCAAGTCTACCATACAAAGTTTCTTGGGTTTCTGACTTTTGTACTTAGATGGATGGTGCTACTACTCACAGAAATGGGAATACTCAGAGAATTGCTTCCATCTTCTCCATTAAAAAAAAATCATGAAAATCGCTGTACTCTGTAAGAAGGGTGATTATATTTCAAGTCTCTCTTCCTTAGAGTTGCTTTCACTGATCCCTCAAACTGGCTTAAGTTCCTTTGTTATATATTCCTAAGGTCCCATTCATCTCACCTTTGATATTCATCCCACTAGGGAACATTATCAAAGTTAGTTCCTCCATAAAATGTGACCTCCAAGAGCCTTGGTGTTGGGCTCCACTTGTTCCCGACCCCCATCCAAAAAGCTCAGCTCACCTGGCACATAGTAAATTCTTCACCTTTGCTGAACTGAATTTCACCTTAACCTTTTTTCCAGATGAAAGTTATCATGACCAGTTAGACTCTGGAGAACCCAAATGAACCATTTTTAAATCAAGACTTTCCTAAATTTGGGCCATAGGGAACAAAGCCAGCAAGGAACTTGGGTAACACCCGATTTCCAGATGCTAAGTAGTTTTGACCTGTACATCGGTTGTCATATGCTGCAGCTGCTGTTGCTTCCATCTTCTCCATTAAAAAAAAACCTGATAGAAAACAAATACAGAATTGGTGATGCCACCAATGCTATCTGTTGTTCTAAACACCAATAATTCCACTGATAGATGGGGAAAGACTAGGGCAGAGGTCAACAGCTTCTCTAGTCCTCAGGGGCTCCAAGAGAATCAAGCAATGTGCAGTGCTCAAGGGCCATGGGCAAAGGTAAAGGAACAAAGGAAAAACAAAGCAGTTTTTTATATAAAATCATTTAATTTCTTTCTCTGTCAAAATACACTCAATCCAGATGCTATAAATCAGGTGACCAGATTTTTAAGGATTCAGACTCCACCAGGAGTTGATTCCACCTGTGTCAAACCTGGCTCTGGTCACAGAACATTCACGTCTTTAATTCCAAATACTGAGTGGGATGCAAATGATGTAATCAATATCTAAGACATGGGTATATAAAAAAAAATCATGAAAATCGCTGTACTCTGTAAGAAGGGTGATTATATTTCAAGTCTCTCTTCCTTAGAGTTGCTTTCACTGATCCCTCAAACTGGCTTAAGTTCCTTTGTTATATATTCCTAAGGTCCCATTCATCTCACCTTTGATATTCATCCCACTAGGGAACATTATCAAAGTTAGTTCCTCCATAAAATGTGACCTCCAAGAGCCTTGGTGTTGGGCTCCACTTGTTCCCGACCCCCATCCAAAAAGCTCAGCTCACCTGGCACATAGTAAATTCTTCACCTTTGCTGAACTGAATTTCACCTTAACCTTTTTTCCAGATGAAAGTTATCATGACCAGTTAGACTCTGGAGAACCCAAATGAACCATTTTTAAATCAAGACTTTCCTAAATTTGGGCCATAGGGAACAAAGCCAGCAAGGAACTTGGGTAACACCCGATTTCCAGATGCTAAGTAGTTTTGACCTGTACATCGGTTGTCATATGCTGCAGCTGCTGTTACCTGATAGAAAACAAATACAGAATTGGTGATGCCACCAATGCTATCTGTTGTTCTAAACACCAATAATTCCACTGATAGATGGGGAAAGACTAGGGCAGAGGTCAACAGCTTCTCTAGTCCTCAGGGGCTCCAAGAGAATCAAGCAATGTGCAGTGCTCAAGGGCCATGGGCAAAGGTAAAGGAACAAAGGAAAAACAAAGCAGTTTTTTATATAAAATCATTTAATTTCTTTCTCTGTCAAAATACACTCAATCCAGATGCTATAAATCAGGTGACCAGATTTTTAAGGATTCAGACTCCACCAGGAGTTGATTCCACCTGTGTCAAACCTGGCTCTGGTCACAGAACATTCACGTCTTTAATTCCAAATACTGAGTGGGATGCAAATGATGTAATCAATATCTAAGACATGGGTATATAGTTACTTGGTGGTCACTGCACAAGTATCAACAATGCAGGCTCAAAAAATAAGATGTATAGTAACTTGGGCCTTTCCAAAAACAATTAGGACGATAAGCTTACACCTTAGACGAATCCAAAATAAATACTAATTAAGTGCTAGCTCCTGTGAGAAACAGTGCATGCAGAGACAACTTGCATGTGTGACCAGTTGTAACAGAAAGTTTCTGGAATCCCAACAGTGCCTCCTTACAAAGTCAGTCCTGAGTGTGAGGATGAAAACGAGAATAACACACAACGTGGCCAGGCTGCTTGATCCCGTGCTCTGATGGGATTCAGAGGATCTTCATGTTCCTGCCTCACTGCTGATCATGCAGTGCAGAGAGCACTTCATTCATAAATGAGAGCTTCAGTTTCTGCTTGAGCCTCAAGCCCTATTTCTTAGGCCCAATCTCATCACACATCTCCAATATGTACTAATGCTCATAGACACACTCCAGAGCTGCATGCCAAGTTCTGACAGCAAGAATAAGCCTTACCTAAAGTTTATATATGAAACTTCCCAAAGGATGGAGGCAACAGGAAAATACTTATTTTACCACCATGTAGACAACCCATCTAAAATATGACCCAGGAAATTATAGTTTAACAATATTCTGGACCACACCAAATAGATTAAACTATCTTTCAACCAAATGCAAATACCATTCCCTTGAGGAAAACCAGATGTGAGTGTTGTAGTCTATTAGGTAATAGATAAAACAGGATCATCAATGCTATAAAAACAGACAATACACCTGACATTTACGGGAGTTACAGTATTGCTTCTATTTAGTATCATCACAGATTAATTCACGTCTGTCATGAAATCCATAAAATGTGTGACTACACTATTCATGGGCATCTAGAGCAGGGTCTTTTAACTTGTCAAGCCAGTTTAATTATGGCCCATTTTCTAGCAGGGATTGGGGAGAGGAGGGCTTTGATTTTTGTGTACATAGGAAGACTTTCCATAAGCCTATTTGGCTCACAGGCAAATTTTACCTCATAAGTCCCCTCAGCCACTCAGACGAGATCAAGGAAGCCCCCCAAACCCAGGAGGATGAACATAGTTGAACAGCAAAATCTGGCTGTTTTTGGAGCTGCTCCTCCTCCCTACAGCTGAGCAGTTGTCCCCCAGCAGCCACCAAAGCCCCATTCTTTACCTCTAGATGCATCTCCTGATCTTGTGGAACACATGCTGAACCATGGTAGACACCTGTACCTGAACCATGGCTATGCATCTGAAAGGAGAAATTCTACTTTGGAAAGTTTTCATGTAGATTCTCCTTCCAACAGGAACTTTCCTTCCATCCTGAAGAAAACATGAGTGTAGATTACTGTCACCTACTGAACCTTCCAGGTTCGGATTCATGATAATCTGGTAGCTTGCCTCTGCAGGAAGGCCAAGAACCACATGGTCTGGGAAACAACTTGCTAGTGAGGGACCTTTTGTTTGTATATAGAATTGATGTAGGGAGGTTCTTGCCACAGAAAGGATATAGGGTCACAGGATTGAGAGGAACAGCGGCATCCTTGGGAAAGATTCTGTTTTACCAATCTGGCTAGAATAATTTGAGAAATGGGGATGATCTCACACTTTCTACTTGATAATCAGCCTACCACCTAGCTCTGCCACTATCCATTGTATGACCAAGGTCAACCATTCATCCTCTCTAGGCCAATGTTCTCATTCATAAAAACAGGTATAAGATGTCTACTTCATAGAGTTGTGAGGAAGATAAAGTAAGAAAATACATGTGAGAGCCCCTGCTTCATGCTAGGTACTCAATAAATGTTGACTATATGAAAAAGGATCTCATATCACAAACTACAGGGTACTGGGTTAGACAAAGTGACTGCTGAGGCCAACACCAGACCCCCCAACACCACAGCCACAGCAAGAGTGTCTTTCCCCCTTATCTCTAAGCTTGAGCAAACAGCCTGTTTGGCTGGTGGTACCTCCTCTCAGGTCTGACCACTGTACCTCTGTGGGGTGTAGGGACTTGGCTCATTCATGAGGCTGCAAGGGGAAATGACAACAAGAACATTCTCTGGGTTCTATGATAGACTGGTAAACTTGCACTGAGCCTAAGTGTTGCATTTTACCTTCAACCTTGGTCCCTGCTTTCTGCTTCTAAATTGTCTGTTGTACTGCTTCACTCAATATCTTTTAATTTCTGGACCCTCTGCAAAAGAGAAGGTTAAAGAAGTAAAAGAAACTCAAATCAGGCAGTTTATTAATGCTAATAACTCTGAATAGAGAGATGAGGCAAATAGGAAACTACTGACTACAATAGTTTACATTTCTCCACATTCCCCTCAGAAAATGGAAATATGAGCAGGAGCATGTTCCAAAGGCCAAATCCTGGCGGAGATGATGAGGTGCAATTCTTGGTGCACACTGTAAGCAATAAATATTAAGCTGCTTTGGCTATGCCTAGGAATGACTGGATACTGAGACTTAAGTGAAGAAGGGAAGAAAGAAGAATGCATGGATTTGCTCTGTGATGCCCTGAATTACATTCCTAGAGGCAGGGCAGGTGTGGAGCTGGGGGGTTGAATCCAGCACTTTGCCTTTAATTCAACTTAGATGGACTGTTCCCGGCCCCTGGAGCTAATCCCCAGGAAGGATTCTGCGATGACAAGTCTGGCTTCATGCTCAAGCGCCTTCAACTTTGCCCACCAAACAAAGTTAGCAAATTATAAAATGTCCATTTCCTAATTTTGTATTATAAAATGGAATTAGGAACATAAATAGTAACAAGTAGCAAAACCCCAACCCTGTGTAGGACCACCATCCTCTCAGCCACCTCTGCGTAGGCCAATAAGTTTGGAAAGTTTTTCACAGTTTTCAAGTTTCAGTGACTCTGCTTTCTGTTTCAATCGTTCATCTCTGTATAATCCTGCCAAATTTGTCAACTCCGACTCTGAAAGATAAAAGAGGTAACCAATTCATCAAGAGAATTGAGCTCCTTTGCTTCATTTCAATATTTCTGGAATCAAAGCTTCTTTTACTTTATTTAATGCTTTCTCTTTCAATTAAATATAAGAAACACTCATTTAGTCAAGAGAAATGTATCAGACAGCTATCTACACCAGGTGCTAAGGGATTAAAAGACACCTGTAGTCCTGGAGTCCTGCAATATCTGTGCTATATTATAAAAGCACCAGACTTAGTTCTTATCAATAGAACATTTGGCACCAGACTTAGGAAGCCTGCACGTGTGCAGTAAGAGGAGACTGTTTCACGGTCTTCCTACAAATGGTATTCAGATGGCAGTTGGGAGAGAACAGTGTCCAATCGCCTGCTCCTGTCATCTGAAACAAAGACAGCTGCTGCATTCTTTCCCCTGCGTTGCTAGATCATAACTCATACATGCTGACACATAGCCTACTTCCGGTGGGTATGCCTTCTATGGCAGGCCAGGTTGTCGGTGGCTTTTTCATTCCCTAACTCAAAGGCCAAAGGCAGCTGGGCTCTTTTTAAAGTGAAGTCATCTGGATCAGGTGACCTTTGTCTCCTTGACTAAATGAATTTCATTTTCATGATGGAGAAGGTCATTCTATTTTTAACCAGAATATAATCTCTGCTGTCTTTCCTGACTCAGTGATGACTGTCTGCTTCTATTTTTTATTATTTTGTAAAGTTTCAGAGATAGTCTTAGGAGGGAAGGCCTGAAAAACACCTTCAGAGATGTGTTGTGTATTAACACGATAGCATGCTTGGATGTGCCGTGTGGATTCTGAAAGCTTCCGAGAACAGCCAGCAACTCAATGTTTAAAGGACCATACTTGTGAAAATGCTATTTTAATCATTTGGAAATATGTCTATCCATTCTTAATCATCTTGCAGACAGATTTTGTTTTTCTTGGTGGAATGAGGAGCACCTGTCTGATTAATCAGCGAACTGCCTGGAAACAGGAATTAATACTTAGACAAGAGGAACAATGGGCATTGGTTTCTGAATAAGTTTCTATCAACACAAAACACTGGCTGGCATTTCTGCTCACAATGATTCTATTTACACCAACTAAGGCCCAAAGTGCAGATTAAGCGCAGGACTCCAGGGTGTGGGGTGGATATGCATGAAAACCCTCCCTCTACAATGGGGGCTCAGAGTCTGGTCCCCAGCAGTTGCTTGGCATGCAGCAGGTCTCCTAGGCTCCAGAACAACGTGCTGTCTTCCCTTGGCACGGGTGCCCACAGTGCCTGCAAGCCAGAGCTTGCCTTGGCACCGTCGTCCTTGTGGGTGATGGGGCTTCATGGAGGATCATGTGCCGCACCCAAATGAAAGCACTCTGCTCCTGCATTCTGCCCAGAGTATTGCACTAACTCCATGTCTCTAGCTCCTCTGGCATGTGGGGAAGTTGTCTGGGAGACCTCTATAAAATCAGTCTATCCCTTTGGTCCTCTAGAATCACACTGAAACAGATTCTGTGGCTTTGCTTTTCCTTGAAATGATTTCCTTAGGTTTTCTTTTCTTCCTTCTCATTCTTTTATTTTTTTGATTTCCTTAAGTTTTCTGCATACCAAGCTTATCTAAATGCCTCATTGCCTGAAATCGCATTCCAGAGAACATTAAAGCTAGTAATTCTTACTATTTTCTACACTGAAGAACACTGTAACAAGCTAATAAAAGATAACTGCACATATATGAACGATTTTCTCAAAACATCACATTGCTTTTCATAAAGTTCACGAAACCAGGTTTCAATGCTCGAGACTGAGACTCCTGCTCCAAAGCAATGACCTTGCACAAGGTCAGTGTTTCAAGGAACCATGTCCCACACCCCCACTAACATGCTTAGAGAAACTGCTCTCTCAACTGCCAGTGAATCCTTTTGCCCTTCAATGAAGCAAAGGTCAACTTAATGAAAATATTAGTTTTGACAAGTTCTGTTAATATTCAATAACTTCTAAGAGAGAAAAAAAATCCTTGGGAGGGGCAGGATCAAGAGAACATCTTTTCTTCTCTGCAAAATATTTCCCTTACCTTGAATTCCAGTGTTAATGGATGGACAGAGCACTGAGCCTTCACGGTAAATTGACTCAGGCAAACTGCCAAGAGAAGCAAGTCTCGGAGCCTCTCCCAAGAACACTCTGAACAAAAGCCCAGATCGGAGTCTTGACATTTGTAAGACCCTAAAAATCCCAGCTGTCCTTATGATCCAGCCCCATGAGACAGTGTGCATCCAGTCCAGCAAGGCCTAGACTCTACCAGGAACCGGGCACTTACTCTGTGCCAGACACCAGACTAAGTGTTATACTCATATCATCTTCTATAATCCATACGGCCTCTCTAGGAAGTTCATTTATCCCCACTTCAGAGCCTAAGCTTCTATCCACTCTGCTACCCTGCTCCAGGCCATGGAAAGAAGTGCCCCTTTGCCAGGCAGGGTGAGATCTCAGCTCAGTTCAGCCAGGCCAGGAGGCAGTTCCTGCCTATTACTTTTGTCCATCCCAGCCCAGTGGCATGGCCATATTCCCTGGCACAGGGTTTATTATTTAGATGCAGCTGTGAATGAAAACAGGGCAATTAGTGTTCAGAGTAGGGGATTACTCATAGAAATTCACTCGGATTAAGTATTCTAAGGAGCAGAGAAAAGAAATGAACAAAAGATTTTAAAAGACAATGGCTATCTTTGCTAAAAACAGTTTCCATTCGGTATTTTGCCAAGAGTGAACTTTGTTCTCAAGTGGGTTTATTTTTACAACCTCAAAGTGCTAAATTTAACCTTGTTGGCTGTACTTGCTGCTGGATCCGGAGGGCAGATGCTGCTTGTTCTCAAATGGCACTTGGGTTGTGTGGAGGCTCCGGACAGCCACCATCCTTAAATGGCAGAGATAGATTTTTGAAGGGTGTGTGCTGATAAACCCCCATTTGGAACTTGTGAGTACACACATCATGTTTATTCATTGGATTTTTATTTATACCTAGAGAGTGCCCAAACTTTGAAACTAGGCCTCATGGGGGTGGGGACAAAAGCCTAGAAGCCACCTTAGTTGCAATCCTTACCATAAGCTCTTTGCATAGTTCCATCTGAGGTTTGTGTGTGTGGCTGGGTGTGTGTCTGAAGACTGTGAAATGCAGATTTTCATCCAGTTCTTATAGAAAGCAACAAATTCAAACCCCTCCCAGGGCCCAAAACAATGAAGGACTTTTAGGACACACACTGTGGCCTTTACCTGATTTGAGTCCATGAGTATACTGCCTTTTAGTCTAAGGTCTTTATCTTGCTCCTAATTCTTCCCCAATTTTTGAAAACTTGTAAAACCAGTTTAACATGAGGTAGGGTACTTCCTGACCCCTCAGATTTTTCAGTAAAATAGCAACTTCCTCCTTCTGCTTAATTCCCCTTTTATTCCAGAATCATTGCCCACCATGTTCCCAATGCACCTGAGAGTTCAGCTTTGCCCTATAGCAGTAGAGGACAGACAAGGTCCCTAAGGGCCAGGGTTAGGACACTAACCCTGCTCTAAGATTGATTGCTAATCCTCAACATTCTCACTGTTTTTCAGTCCTAAGAATCCTCTCTTCAAAAGACATTTGTTGAACACATGTTCTGAAGCAAGGACTGTGCCAGGTGCCTGGGACACAAACTAAGACATGGTTCTCGTCCTCAGATAGTCCACAGTCCAGCACCAAGACAGATGTGTACCCAGAGAACACTAACATGGTGAGAGCAGTACTGTGTTAGCAGGGTAAACAAAACGCTTTGCGAACATAGAGGAAAGAGAGATTAACTTGGGGGTGGGGGTGGGATATGTGATGGGCCAGCAAGGGCTTAGCAGCACTGACTGAAGACCTAATTTTATCAGACACTTTTAGGTGTTTAATAATAGCCAGAAATAAGCTTTTAAAAAATGAGTTAGGGTTTGCTTTTTAAAAATTAACAAAAGCCAAGTTTTATAAGATACAGTTACTAACAGTGTGTGTGTGCATGAGTGTGTATGTGGAATTCAAGTGGGGTGAAAGGTGACTATGTTGGCTGAGAGACAGGGCTGCCCTGGCTACCACCACTCCCCATTAACACCCGCTGGAATTGTAAGCCAAGTGGCAGACACTGTTACCTCCACTGTCTCCAGAGGGAGAAACAGAGCGGAAGGCCTGCTCACACTCACCTGTACTGAAGGGGCAGACCTAGGGAAGGTCAGTTTTGTTCTGTGGCCACAACCTTGTGGCCGCAAGGGATGGGGCATGGGACTCGATCCTAACAACCTACAACCTTTAGTCTGGCTCAAAAAGTTGGGATGAATCAATCAGATTTCCTTCTAGGGAAATGTGAAATTAGGAAATTGGACCAAACCAGTGGGCAATGAGAACTTACAGAGGAAGCTTGTTATGTAGAAATTGGCCAATGACTGGTGAGGTTGGGGAATTTAGAAGAGCAACTGGGAAGGCAGCAACCAAAATAAACTATGGCAAAACAAGGTTATGACGGAAGAGAGCTTGAAGGAGCAAAGGAAAGCAGTTGGCAGAGAGAGGAGAGTAGGGTGGATGGGCAGCGAGAGGTAGAGACTCAGAGACAGACAGGTAGGCAACTATTGCTGCCTGCCTGAGTTCCTAAGATTTCCAAGTCATGGCCACATGTGTCCCGTCAATAAATCTCACTTCTTTTTTTCGTAGTATTCTCAATGGGCCTCTGTCCTGTCTCTGTTCATATAAACATGTGCAATTCAAACAAGAAAAGATGAGGGATCAGGAAGCTGGGGATGCCTCAGGTTGGAAGCATGGTCACCAGCTAAAGCATCTTACTTTGTTGTTTCTCCTTCCAACAACTTGTCTGTATATAATCAATGTAATCCTTCTCTATCGTCTTCTCCAGGTCATGCAGAGATGCTCCCCTGTAGGCCTTGTCAAAGTTTTTATCCACAAAGTAAGGCACCTGCAAGTTCTGGGTTTCTCTGGAAATGGTGTAGCCCAAGGTCCTGAAACAAAAAGAGAGAGGCTCAGGTAAGCTTGTTCAATTTGGCAATATCACTCTTAGCACTGGCCTCAGGAATATCGTGATCACAATCACCTCTTTTCACAGGGCAGATGAAGATATCATTTTCTAATGCACCTAACATTTATTATTTCTCTGGCAAAGCAATAAGTATAATGTCATTATTGCTATTCTATGAGCATGTTTATACTGTGGATTCAGCCTCAGCATAGTTACTTTATTCTCTTGAAGGATTCACCTCTCCTAAACTGCTTTCTACGCTAAAAGTAGAATTCTAATGCTTAAAAAAAACAACTTGTATATTGTGTAGGACTTAACATGATACCTGACGTGGAGTAGGCTATTGGTAAATGCTGGTTGAATGAACTGATTGTTACAGTAAACTATTTGCAAGTAACCAGATGGTTTACACCAGCCTAGCATCAATCTTTAGGACACATAAAAAGTACTTCGCACATAGCTACTAAGTGAAAACTGCAAAAAACTCAGACAAAAGATTTCAGTGATGCTTCTGGGCTAACTCTCTGTGGGTCTAAGATATCCAATGGTATCTGGTACTCAGAAACATTGACAAGTCTGGGTTACTAAATTCTAACCATATGGAAGTATAGAAGGGAGCTCAAATTAAGTTAAAACAATGTGACAGCAATGTACAAAATGAAAGCTGACTTATTCTAACTGAACAAAGTCTATCTCAAATGAGTTACACTTGACCTCTTCCCAGCATTTTCCTTTGATCTCTCTACTTAAGGATCTTGCCGCACGTCTAAGAGCTCAGGCCATGACTGCTCTCACCATCCTCTGGGAATTTGTTAGCAGGTTCCTGAATGCCCCACTGGCCTGACAAGAAAGGAGGTTGCAGTAGCAGATGGAGATACTTGGAAAGTCAGGAAATAGAGAGAATCAAGCCAGTGTGAACTGTTAGCAATAACCTCTCTCTGAGTCTCAGACTTCCGTTTGTAAAATGAAGATATTGACCTAGAATGATAGTCTTCAGACAACAGTGATCAACAATGAAGACTCTCCCTGTTATGTATTGCCCCACAGACCCCACATTTTATAAGGTTTTTATTGACTAAACTACAATGAGTAATGACTTGTTTCTCATTATTAATTTAAAAATGTTATTCTTAAACTTTAGTATAGATCAGAATAATCTAGAAGGCTTGTTAAAACTCAGATTGCTGGTTCTCATCCTCAGAGTTTCTGATTCAACAGACATAGAGGCCTAAGAGTTCGCATTTCTAACATGTTGCCAGTTGATGCTGATGATGCTGGTCTGGGGACCAAACTTTGAGAACTGAATTAATTGAAATAATTAATTGAAGAAATAAAAAAAATTCCTATCAGAGCTTATAATCTTTATGTAATACAAATATAACAATGAATTTCTATATTTTCAGGGATGAGGTTCATCCCTGCAAAGAAATGTGATGCTATGGTTTGACTATGTAGCCTTATCACGAGTAAATGTCCTATTCTTGCAATTTATTAAATTGAAAAGAATCACTGGATCTCAGTTACTACGTTCCCAGATGCACAGGAGTCCAGCAATCCTATCACAAGCTCAATAAGGTCCTTTCTAACTCTAGCGTGGTGTAATAAGGATTTAATTTGAACAGAAACCAGTTGCTGCTCTGCAACTGACCAGATGATGTCGCTGAGAACAAAACAATCCATGTTCTGAGCACAGAGGAAACTGCCCTCGGTATTTTTGAGTCTCTGTATTATTACTATCCAGCTGTTCCTTTAAACACAAAAATCAGTTTTTCTACAACAAAAGGTGAAATGAAATGTTAATCATGTACAGACAAAACCTTTAAGTCTTTCAGATCGTTGTTTAGATTTATAAATATCTGACTTACGATTTGTAGAATAGACTGTATGGAGGATTAGCAGCTAGCAGTTGAGTAATGACAGATATAATTACAATCACGAGAACTGGAAGTAACTGAATAAATGCAGAATATGTAGTCTGAAAAAGAAAAAATATTTGGTGTAAGTTTTCTTCATCAATATAAAGCTTATAGAAAATAAGATTGTTTTCCCAAAGAAACTACAGATTATCGATACATTGCACAAAGCCCAAGCCTCTTCTAGGAAGGCTATTCTTTCCACTGAGAAATATCAAACAACTCTGTTGTCTCTGCTGAGAAAGCTGAAGGAGACCCACCCACAACCTGGATTGATACCTAATAATTCTCCTGCAGCCTCCTTTTCTAAGACCAATGAAGTGGACACCTTTGGGTGAATCTGCCCAGACTGTGACTCTCATGGGACCACATTAGCATGATGCTATGTTGTTACTTTGGCCAGTGAAGAGACTGGGGGACATCAAACCCTAGCAGGGATAATCACATTGTTCTTTACTAGGAATTTGGGATTGAGGTTCATCCCTGTTCATGGCTAGGCAGTCACTTGACGAAAGAACACATACCCTTAGGCACTATGGACTGGCTATTTTTAAGGGGAAGTAAAATAAGCCAGGCTGCAGAGAGGTGAGAAAACTGGACAATCTGGCCCCAGCCTGCCACAGAGAGCACAGCTGTGTGCGTGCCTGACAGCACCCCAGTTCCTGATTCCCATCTGTCATGAGGTTCAGCTGCCCTTCCTGCCCTTGAGCTTCATGAGAACTCCCCATCCCTTACCTTCACTCCTTTTAGTTCTAAATATTTGAAGGGGGTTCCTATTTGATGTAGTCAAGAAAACCTTGATGAAGACAGCCCCACAGGGGAACTGAGTTCCTGAGATAACCACCAAAGAGTGGGTGGGGAAGGGGGTACCATTCTGGCCTATTTAGGCCTGTTATCCAGCTCTTCTTACCATTGCCTCTGCTTTCCTAAAGCACATTTAGTGACACATATCTCCGGTTGAACTTCTAAAACCTGACCATACACCATAAAGGCCAGCTCAGTACAAGTGTTTGTGAGCAGCAGTTCTCCTGTACTGCCTCGGTACCTGAGGTTTATCTTCTTCCTCTTCCTTCTGTGTCTGCATCCTCTCATGTCGGTGCCGCCGGTGGTAATAGTGGGTATCATCAGTCACATTCGAAAACATATGAATATTTCCTGGAAAAGAAAGAAAGACCCTTAGTATAGGATATGGCAAACATTCCTTCCTTGTCTATTCCAAGGTCATTCTCTGAGGGGAGAATATTGTCCCATTTTACCCAGAGGAAAAATAAAACAGTAGGTAAGCCAAGTGAACCAGCTAGAAATGGAATGTGCTTAGCTCTCTTACTTTTATTTAAAATAGTCCTTTGTAACCAGTGAGTGAGAGAATCCCAAAAGGCTAGTAAAGAAAGAGCATTCGGGAGCCATGAGTCTTGCCTAACATGCTCATGTTTGCTTCCTTGCCCAATAACAGATTATGTCACTAGTATCCTTAATAGCAACCCATAAAATTCAACTTACTTCCTGGGCATTTAATTATCCCAACTTCCAACTCTCTGGGGGTTCTTTTCAAACTTATCTCTGTATATATAGTTGCTATTTTGCAATAATGACAATAGGCATCTTTCTACTTATTATTAAGCATTTAAAAATAACATTCGCACAGTAGCCCTGTGAGGTAGGTATTATAAGCCCATATTTCAGGGGAGTAAACAGGGTAAGACAGACTAAGTAATTGGGTCAAAATCATGAACAGTTGGAGGCTGGAGACTTGCCTCAAATCCCAGTTCACCTGGTTCCAAATTCTTGCTGTTTCCACCATACCATGTCTCTTTATTTAGATCTTCAAATAGGAGCTTGCTGATACATACATACATACATACATATATACATAGGTGTGTGTGTGTGTGTGTATTTAAATGATAATATTGGAATACTAACCTGTAGGAAAATGTCCTCCAAAGAAGACATTGAATAGCTCTTCTGGAGTGATGTCAGCTTCAAAGTCCTTGTAATAATTATAAGGTCTGGCTCGAGGGGCAGTGAAAGTCACCTGTTCATCTCCATATTCATCGTAGCGGAGTCTCTTGTCAGGATTGCTCAGGACTGCAAAGGCATTTCCTATCGCTGCAACCGAAATCAAAAAGCAATTGAAATCAAAAAGCAACTGAGTACACAATCTTTGCTGCAGCTCATGGTGATCACATTAGCAGCAATGAAGAGCCCAGACTTGATTGATTCTAGATAACTTCACAGGAGCCCAAGGGAGGTGCTTGGGGCTAGAAAGTTCACCAAAGTGCTTGCCTTTGAGATGTTCTATAATCTAGTTTGTAAAACCGGAAACAACACTGGACTCAAGATGAACTAAGAACTATTATTCTTATTCATTAAAAATATGTCCTTATTTCACTTGAGAGCAATAGTTTATGGTTAGAAATGGTTCATACATAAATAGTGGTATTCTAACTTGAAATCTAGAAACAATCACCCAAATAAAATAATCAGCAAAATTATTGCTTAAGTAAAAGCAAAGTCCTCATCACAATCTTATTTCAGCTTCCTTTAGAAAATGGTCTTTAGAAATTAAGAAATGTATCTCCATTGTCTCAATGAAAGATCAAAGACTTGAATAGATTACATATGCTTACTATCATCTCCCCTCCCTATTTGTCCAATTTCAATGAAATATATAATCTATACCTGCAATCAAAGAAATCTCAAAAAAAAAAAAGAAGTTTTAAGACATTCCTACCCACTAACTCTGATTCAGCCAACACTCTCAGAAACACAGTCAGAAAGAGTATTTCTTTATGATTCTTCTATCTAGGGAATTGTATTAAATGTTTATAGCAATAAAACAGCTAAGCAGAAAAAAAAACTAAAGAAAGTTGCTTAAATGTTCACATCCGTTGGAATCTGGCAGATTTATCAAAAAAAAAAAAATGGCATTAGTCTGTGAGATAGCTTACAGGAAGGTATTAAGAAAATGTGGGTTATCTGGTTCCTTGTAGAAAAACTATGGGGAAAATTAGATTCACAATGGCACGTCAACAAAGGTAGACTGTCCTCTGAGATACATGTTGACTTTTTAAAAAATTTCTCAGATCTATTATTTTTTACTTTTTATTTTGAAAAATTTCAGATCTATAGACAAACTGAAAAAATGGTACAAGAAACACATACATAACCTTTGCCTTGATTCATCAGTTGTTAACATTTTGCCACATTGCTTCCCTCACCTCTCTATGCATACATCTAGACATATATATAACATGTATACATTCTTTTGCTGAACCATTTGAAACTTGGCCACAGATATGATGCTTCACCCCTAAATATTTCAGCATACATCTTCTAAAAAGACATTCTTCTACATGATCACAATACCATTATTACAGCTAAAAAAATTAACATCAGTTCATTATCACCTAGTGAATCCATGCTATGTTCATGTATTGCATTTGGTTTTATGTCTTTTTAGTTTCTTTTTATCTAGAACAGTCTCCCCTCCCCATCATTTTTGCTTTTCATTATATGGACTGTTTTGAAGAGTGGGTCACTGTTCTTTGTAGAATATCCCATATTTTGATTGTTTCCTTGTTATTAAATTAAGGTCAAATATTTTGGCAAGAATACCACATAGGTTCTGTACCACATAATGTTAGGTTATTCCAGTATTTGGGGATGATAAGTTGGATCATTTGATCAAAGTGGTGACAGCTAGATGTCTCCATTATAAAGGAAAATTTCCCCTTTGTAATCAATAAGTATTCTGTAGGGTGATACTTTGACATCATATGAATATCCTATTCAACAACAACCTATCACCCAATGCTTTAGAATTCATTGATAATCTTTGCCTGAATCATCAACTTCACTGAGGAAGAAGCTCTTAGGGTAAGATTTTTATTTGTGTGTTGGGTCCAAAATATTTTTTAAAAATATCTTTCTAAAGTATCATGGAAATTCATAGAAAAAAGTTTGATCTATAACTGTATTTATGCTTTTTATACACAGATTTTTCATATGAACATGTCAATCACAGAGGTTTCATGAACAGAGTTCCGCAGTCAAAGAAGTCTGGAGATGCGTCTAGGCCATACTTGCAAGTAGCCACCAGCCTGTAAGTCCCACAAGAGGAATCATGTCTGTTTTACCCATTGTGGCACCTGGCATATAGATCTTCAATAAACATTTGTTGAATCAAAAGATGAATGGTTTCAAAAGTGTTACAGAGAAACCAAATATTTTTTTCCAAAAGAAATTAAGGTGAGTGAATGAAGACAGGAGGGAGCTATGCTGTAATCACTAAGAGGTATGGCAGGGGAAAAAACCCTGCTTGTGGCCTTATAAAAGAACCACAGGGAAGGCCGAAAACCACTTTTGTGGCCAAACATCACAAGGAGGGTAGAATTAAGTATTAGTTCAAGAAAAGACCTTTGAAAGCGTCTGTTGCTCCAGGTGCACAGTTCTTGTCAGGGTGAAATTTCAGGGCAAGTTTTCGGTAAGCTTTCTTAAGCTCTTCATCACTGGCATTTCGAGAAACTCCCAGAATTTCATAGTAATTTCTGCATTTCTTGATCCTAAAAACACATATCAGAAACATGTATATCTACAAAGGCTCCTTTTGTACAATTAGCTGCAAATAGTACATCAATCCTTCCTCCAATCTCTGAGCCCCAAAACAAACCTAAAAGAAAATTGGTGAACTCGTTAAAGAAATATTCAAAGTCATTAACAATGTCCTCCTCCCACCAAGAGCTTAATGCCTTTCAAAGTATTTTTACATCTAATATTTTATTCTTTCTACATCTTTGCAAGTGAGTAGACCAAGTATGCTAATCCTTACCATCAAGGTGCAAGCTAAGGTCCTGAGAGCAGAACCACAAGACTGCAAAGCTAGAAGAAACACCTAACCACCCTATTTTTTTACTCTCTCTCTTTTTTCCTTATAGCTATCTTTTTAAACTTTGTTTTTAAAAGTTAATATGTACACATAGAAGGAGATCTGTATATATTATTTAAAATATCCAACAGTACTAAACCGTATACAGTGAAAAATCTTCCTGCTTCCGCATTCCCTGTCCCCTAGTCTCCCACCCTGTGGACAACCAACCACTGTTAGTTTTCTGTGAATCCTATGTATAGAGTGAGTATATGTATAGAGATCTTTCTATTTTTTTCTTACCTAAATGGCAGCTTTTAGGTAATTATAATCACCTTTCTAAATCTTGCTTTTAAAAAAAAAAAAAAAAAACTATTTATCTTAGAGATTGAGCCGTAACATATAAAGTATAGGACAATAGTTGAGACTAGAGTGGCAGTTCTGAACTTTTTGATCTCAGAATTTTTTTCTACTCTTAATTATTGAAGACACCAAAAGAACTTTTGTTCATGTAAGTTATATCTATCAGTAATTACCATACTAAAAGTGAAAACAAAAAATATTAAAGCAAAATGTTGATTTAATTATGTATCAGGTAGCCTCTCAAAAATGCCACTGTACAGTTGTGAGAGGATGAGTGAAAAAGGCAAATAGTGTGTTTTTATTATTCTGAAAATAGTTTTAAACTTGCAGACCCCTCAGGAGGATCTTGGGGTTCCCAAACCACACTTTGAGAACTGCCAGACTACGGCATAAACTCTGGAGTCAAAATGCCTTAGTTGGGATCTGATCTTGCTATGTACTTAACCTCTACGTTTTAGTGCTGTTTTCTGAAATATGCTAATAAGATAACTATATTTCACAGAGCTCTTGTTATGATTAAAAGAAATATTCATCATAGAGAGCCCAAAAATAAATCCACGCTTATACGCTCACTTAATATATGACAAAGGAGGTAAGAATATACAATGGAGTAAAGACAGTCTCTTCAAAAAATGGTTGGGAAAATTGGACAGATACATGCAAAAAAAAAAGAAGCTGGACCATCTTTTTACACCGTATACAGGAATAGACTCA